AAGTGGTCGCGCTCACCGGCTCGACTATATCATCCTACGTCAGCGTGATATGCGTGAAGTGCGCATGACACGTGTACTGCGTGGAGCTGAGTGTGACACTGATCACAAGTTGGTGCGGACCAAACCGTACACATATTTTCGCAAATCAAGGTATCAAGTCAAGAAATTGCTTTATGCAACTTGCATGGGTGAATGTTCAGCTACATTGAACTCCTGCCATGAACCTGCGTACAGCTAACATTCTTTCCCTCGGTACTTTGGAGAAGTGTATTGAGCTGGAGAATGTGATGGCTACACGCCTGTGTGATGTGGAATGCATAACTGCAGTGAGCTACCTGTGGCACCACATTCGCGACCAGGTGACAGCTGCTGCCGAGGAGACCATCGGGCGCGCAAACTGTTAGCGGTCCGATTGGTTTGATGAGAACAATGCAACGAGTGTCGTCTTGAAGTTGGAGAAGAACGCAGCATTTATTGCACTGTGAGAGACCCCAGTGACTTACAGAAGAAAATTGCGTTTCAGGGATTGACTCGAGAGCACCGTCGCATTAACAATTTCATGATGGACGGAGAGGTCGAAGCAGATGGAATGCTACGCCAAACGTCGCCAACACAAGGAATACTCTGACTCCTTGATTGTGGTCTGTGGACCGAGATTGGAGCCGCTGCGGACGCTGCTCTATGCTTATTCAGGTGCTGCGTGCACACAAACTGAAGAGATTATGTAGATCTGGTAAGAACACTTTGACTGTCTCTTGAATAATCGTACTGAGATTAACTGGAATGTGTTGTAAGGGCTGCAGCTACACGAGAGGAAGACATATCTTGCCGACACAATGACGCTGGATGGGACGCAAAGAGCACCTGCTCAGCTACGAAGCGGTAAGTGTGCCGGTGCCGAGGGGATCCCGCCTGAACGATTGAAACACGGCGAACCCACGTTGGTGAATGCACTGCACCACTTGGTGTAACGCGTGTGGATTGAGGAGGAGGTGCTTCCTGAGCTGAAAGATGCCGTTGTGCTACCAATGTCCAAGTGCAAAGGAACCAAGCAATGTGGTACGAACTATCGTGGCACCAACTTGCTGAGTTGTGTGACAAAGGTGTTTTCCCGAACCATACGCAACCGCCTCGTTAGTCAGGTTGTAGAACCTAACGTGGCGGAAGAGCAGTGTGGATTCTGTTCGGGTCGCAGCACTATAAATATGGTCAATTACAGAAGTGTAGAGAACGACACCAACCCTTGTACTCGCTTTTTTGATTTCACCAAGACGTTTGATGCGGAGAACCGCGAGGCATTGCGGCTGGTGTTGGGTAGATTTGTTGCCCGCGTAAGTTTGTATGTTTAATTGAATGTCTGCACAGTGGTATGCGAGCGAGGGTGCAGTTGAGTGGAGAGACCTCGGATGACTTTTCAGTTGTCTCTGATGTGAAGCAAGGTTGTGTCTTAGCTGTTGCCCTGTTTAATATTTATCTTCAAGCTATGATATCTTATGCTTTTGACGCAGCTTGTGCTTTCGGTGCTCATGTGGAGCACCGTATTGATGTTGGGTTGCTGAACTCCGTCGTTTCGGTGCGAGAACCCTAATCTGTGAGACAACTATGCCTATGTTGCTGTTTGCTGACGACTGTTTGTTGTATGCAAACACAGCTAGGATGAATTGTAACACATGGCTTTGGCTCTCGCTTCGACAGCGGCCGAATTCGGGCTCACGACCACACAAGCAAAACTGTCTGTCTCTTTCAGCCTACACCGAGTTTGGGGCAGCGGCGTATGAGGAAACAAAAGCTTCGTTACCAGAACATGAGCAAAGTGAGCCTCTCACGTTCTAATCTTGATTGCAAGTCATGGGAACCGAAGGTGGTTGAGCGGCGTGCATGACGCGATCTGATCACGCGGGCTATTGCCGAGTTGCAAGAAAAAACCCTCGTGAATACAGAGAAGAAGCAGCAGTTGCGAAAGCGGCAGTCGCCGATGGGTTGTAGTCCATCGACATCGAGCGCATGGTGCTGTAGCACATGTTGTCGCGAGTACCTGAGTCAGCCAGGCCTAGTTAGCAAGGAGCGGGTCCACTCATCAGCAGCAACATCGAAAAGGCGAAGGGTCATGCTGTGAAAGTAAGCAGAACCGGTGCAGCGTTTGTAGGTAAGCTTCATTCAATTTACTAACCGCTTGCTTTCGTGCTGAGTTACTTTATTTCAAGTGGTGGGTTTCCTATCTTGGTTAATGCTTAGTTTCTCACGTCATTTTAATGTCTACGACGAAGGGTCCTGCTAAAAACGTAAGCAATACCGAAGCAGCGTTGGTAGGTAGGCTGCGTTCGATTTACTAACGGCGTGTTTGCGTGTTGTTTCTTTATTTCCGTTGGTTAGTTTGCTATATTTCGTTAATGCTTACCTGGTTAAGTCGATTAGATGTCTGCCTGAATAAGTTTCTTTTTACTTGCATATGTGGCTTAAGCAGATCGTTGTTAAATTCGTTAACTTTTTCGCATTTGTAACCTTTTTAAAAATGATATCTGACATCTTGAGCTTATCGCAGATTAGCTGATAACCAATTTCTCTCATTTGCTTATTTAGCAAATAGTTAAGTCTGTATATCCTTATGCGTTATTCAATAACTATTATTTGATATTGGCATTTCAAGTGATTGGCTGTTGTTTGACATCTCCGGTGTGGCTGCGCATGATGTGCATGTTGACAAGGTGCCTACCTGTCTAACATCCTCCACCTCGATTACTGGCTCCAGGAGACTCTTAATCATTGATGTGGGGACGAGGTGCACAGTCCTTGTGGCCGTGTCCTAGCACGGCCACTGTAGTATAGGCCGGTTCCGTTAATGAAACGTGGCTCCCATCCACAAACCTCCCGGTCTTATTCTTTCGGGTTTACACTGGATATGGGGTGTATGGATTGAGCAATGGGTGGTGCAGCGCAAGCCACCTCTGGTCCCTTTGTAGAAGCAGGCATCCTGTGGATGTCGCATGGAGGTCTCAGTGACAGGGTGATCCGGAAGCGGATGACGCCAACCATATTAGAGAACGCTTGAAGGTTAGCCAACATCTGTCTACTACAGTCAACCATTTCGTATGCATTGCTGTACTTGCAAACGTCGTTATCTGCTGTGATTTCTAATTTTCCTGATATAACTGTGATCAACATTCGAAACAACTACGCACTTACCCCATTCTGCTTCTACAGACGTGTCTCGCGTCGTCAAGAATAAAAGCTTCGGTGTTTATTTATTTGTTTACGTGTCATTTTTACATTTGACCCCAAATTCAAGCAGGTAGTTTGCAATGAATTCACCTTCATCGTTTTCAGCACAACTTCCGCATCGAAACTCCCAGTGGAGTTCTATTCACTTAAACCTAGAGCACACCAATGAAAGTGAAAATGGTCGTAAGGCATAAGTCGAAGAGCCTGGATCTGGTTTCGGTTGTCAGCTTCCAGATCACTTGTCAGCTGTTACCCAGCTGTAGCATGACGCATTCTTCCCTTAGTTCTAGTTACTCGGAAATGAACAAAGCATGATGTTGAAAGATACCATTATTTCTTCATAATCAATACGCAAACGTTGCTGAGCATTACTCATAGTACATTCTCGTAAACGAAAACTATCTGCTAGAGTGACCGTTGGAAAGCCCTGTGTGATCGCTTTTTGTGCCCCTGGCAGTCCCAGTGAGGCAATTTTTGACGAATTTCAGTCACTCGGAAAACTTTTTAGTGGAAGCATTTTTCCTGGTTGCATATACCATTCACACTACGGAGAAATCAATTCCCAATTCGTACTTACGCAATTCTGAAGCTGTAAAACTATAAAGCAAATTTTTTGAGTGACCGTGACAATTCCCAAGTTTGTCTAATTGGAACGGCCATGAGCACAAAAAGCGGCCACTCAGCGGCAGTCTATTGGTTAATGGCGCTGACTTAAGGTACGGTATTATTTAAAAGTAAATACCACCGGTGTTAATGAGGCATCATAAGTTTTATCAACATACCTAAACATATTACGCCATATCATGTCTCATTTTCCCTTCGGGAATAACCAAAGACACGACAAAATGGGAGAGCTGGCCGTCCATCTGTGCATGTTTGGCTGAGACCCACTGGTTTAATGTTATCGCCGTCCCCACAATTATTTGGCCAAGTACTAGGTGAGCGTGTCTGGAAGTGACACGATTGGTCTCAGTGGCGCACCCTACTTGTTCACTTTCGAAGACCGTAGAGTTGTACAATGTTTTACGCGATACCCTTCATTCGGTCCTGTTCCTTCTTTCTGAGTTGAATCGCTTTTATGTTCTCTGTACTGCTGTCTGTCGAGATGATTCTGCCAGAGGAAAAGCCTCCACAATACTGTAGGGAAGCTTCTTCCACGTATGTTCGCGGAATAACATTCTCCCTCAAAATCTCGTCTACAAATCGCCAATAAACCATCTGCAAGCGTAGACCGTCGGAACGCGATTTAGAAGGTGAATGTTATTGATGGTAATGAATGACGCTCACAAACGTATCAGTAAGTATGAGTGATGTGTGGCAGAACACCGAGCTATCTATCAGAGAATCGTTGGTGAACAATTGGCTGAACACATAGTCTTGATAATAGAACGCAGGGCGGCAAACGCCAGGGCGAAGAAAAGATATTGCAAAACAGGTCATTTAAATTAGCTAGCTGTAAGCTGAATAAATTTAGATGTGATAAATTCTGTACAACATTAATTCAAATCCATAATTTCCCAACTATTTAAACTATATGACACTTGTGTAAGTAGCAAAATATCGTGCTTTGGATCAGTGGAATTGAGACTAATAGGAGGGTGGGCGGTTTTAGAGGCACGGTTTTGGAGCAGCAGGCCCCCGCGTTGCATGGAGAGTAAGCTACGGTCAATAATGGGAAAGGTCAGTGCACGATCACCGATTGATCGAGCGAAGTATTTCGCTGTGACATTTTAAGAGGTAACTGGGATTACTAAGCTCTAAGTAACCACTACTTCACTTACCCTAATCATTTCCAATAAATCCTCGTCTTCGCCTTTCACCGTCTGACACTCCGGTTGCAAGGAAGCTCCCCGAGAATTTTGTGCCTTGCCTTTGCGCGGCAAATTGTTCAGGTTCCTCTGTTGTAGCGTCAATAAATGGGTTATCTGAAAATGCAGAAAAGCGACCGATAAATGAACTCCAGGATGTCCATTAAGAATTGCGGCTGTGGGTCAGTGAATCTGAACGATTGGCACATGCACTATGATGCAAGCAATTTGTCGATGGATAATGATTGTCGCGTGCCGCAAGTATCTGTTTTACAATCAGAGAGCTGCGCCAAATTGAATTTGAGCACTTTTTAATAAGGAGCTTTCTCGGTCATGTATTATCCTTTGCAACCAGATTCCTTCATTTTGCTATTTAATAAGGGCAACCACAACACTGTAGTGACCACGCTTTTCGATGGCGAGGTCGACTAGCCAGAAGAATTCTTCGCCTATTCAGGTAAAGTCGTGACCTTGAGAAAACATAGGTGCTAATCGTTGACTTGTGAACCCGTGGTTTTTTCACCGTGGCTCCGCGGCATTTGTCCCACACCTTTGGATCTATACTTATTCGTCATGCGTTTAAAAGCTCCATCTAGCGGTACCATTTTCTCGAGCACACTCTAGTGCATTCTACATTTACCCCGAATGCTAAATTCCGGGAGGTGTTTCGCCCATATCCAAGCTCCAAAATGTGTGTAACTCCAACCATCGGAAACATCACTTGGTCTCACTCGATAGAATATTTCAACGGATTTTGAACGAACTGTCACTCGTTCAAATTCAAAATTACTTGGAGTAGCTTCAGGTCTCAAGGTAAATTCTCCCGGCCCGATCCATAAGCCCAACCACGAAAATTCTCCATTACACTCTCGTGTAACCTGCCCCACGTTCAGGCTGACACATTAGACTGGCACGCAACAGAGGACAGTCTGCAAACACACAACTGCAATGTGAACACTGACTTTGGCGTCCACATCAGTAACAGAACAACTTTTACCATAGAGAGTGAGACATTCAAATGGTTTGTAACATTTGCACAACAAACGCGATGCATGGTGTGCACAGTCTACAGATCTATGTGGATCATGTTCCAAACTTAGTAAGGGGTGCATTCTGTGCCGTAACTGTTGCAAAATTTTCCATGCGAGATGTCTCCGAGTTACAACTAGTCAGGCCACGTTATTAAATAAACCAAATTATCTATGGTTCTGTGTGGAATGCACATCTTTTCCACTGATATAAAGCGTGCTCCAATTATCTCTGAAGTACGACGGGCTACTAGCCAAGTTTGAGAAAATGGTGACCACCAAACTCACTACGAATGAGGTAGGCAAAACGGACTGTGCAACTCAAAACTTCCCGGTAAGTGCTGCTACTATCCTGAGGAGAACGACTAGTAACACCGTAAATAAAACGCCACCAAGAGCCCAGAAAATCAATTGCTGTTCCAATACCACATGTGGCTCACATTTGACCAATGCGATTCCCAGTTCGATTGGAGTAAGGCTAATTCAAATCTCCCGACCGAGTGCGTAGAGAAAGAGCAAGCCGGTACTAGCGAAAGCTGGGTTTCGGTTATTTCCAATAAGAACCGTCAATAAAAATAATTATCACCCTAAACTAGATCGAAAACTGAGGAGCGTAGCGGAGTTTTCCTAGTGCAAGCACCACCGGTTTCCTGCGGTACATCTCTGAGTACTTCAATCACTAACCGCGACATGTCGAAAGGTGTAAAGTAATAGCTACATGTACTGAGCGTACAGTGCTCCAATGTCCCAGAATCAAAATCGACGTCAATAAGATGCAGGTAATTGGATGACCTCAACCAGTGGGATATTATTAGTAACCTAATCGGAGTTGTACCGAAACCTGTGCACGTAATGCGTATTACGCGGCACCCCAAATCTATGCATTACGGAGAGCCAAGTCTTTTGCACGTTGTGCTAAACTCCATCACTGAAATAGAATCAGTACTACTGTAGACGGGTAGACTCTGAAATGAACATTGCACCATCCGTATCTTTCCCGACATCCCATGGGCGAGCGTTATCGAGTTAACCTTAGAGGACTACCGAAAAAGAACTTTAACCAGAAGTATTCTTCTTCACAGGGTTCCTGAAACTGAAGCATGTGATGAGCATGAAGTAACAACCCATGATAAAGGTCAGTGTTGTTATATTCGTGAAACAATCCGCTTGGATGACGTGCCAGCGAAATCCGTGTCACGACTGCATACCTCACCGAACTACAAAGGAAGTGACCCAAGAGGGTTGTACGTGATCCTACAGTTAAAACATTTGGTAATACGGATGCTAGCAAGTTGGTACATGTTCCGTTGCAGGCTACCATCTGAGCTTCGGCTGAAGACAGTCAGCGATATGCCTCCTAGAAATGAGAACACACTCAACGAACCAAACGCGATTGGATCTTGTAGTAAACAGGAAATATTTACGTTTTCAGTATTTTGTAACATTGGGTTTTATTCTTCTTTTATCTTCTGAGTGTCCGATCGAATTCTCTGAGATTTGCATGTTACCTTGCCCTGTGTTCGGGCTAATTTGTTCCTAGTTCATTGCAGCTCTTTACAATACACTTTGGGCTCGGCTACGTACTCACTTCTGAATAATTGGTAGCCGTATTGGTTCCTACTGGTTGTCGCCGTAACCAGTACTCGACTTCCGCTTTACACTTGGTGACCCCGGTTGCGAACTCAATCACAGCCACCTTGTACCCCGCACTCCGGTGGGACCAAACCTCATCGTTTTTGTTTGGTTTTCCGTTTTTCGTCGTTCAGCATTCGTTTATCATGTCTGATTCGGACGTTAAACTTCCTGGTCTTAAGCATTTTAACTTAGACCAGAATTGTCCCCGAGCAACTGTGTCCATCAAACATTTAAGGTGACATTTTTCGAAGATCCGCCCCCAAATTTGCCCGGTACAGCCACAAAATTAAACTCACCCGCAGCTGCATTTTCCGCACCAGGCAACCTTGAGCCCTCTGTTACCCTTGGCCCTCTGCTAACCCAGGCCCAACCCCAGGCAACCGACCGACGCAGTAGACAGGCCAAACATCCGGTCCGATCTTCAGATTTTGTTAATCTTTGCTATCTTCCTTGACATATGTATTTTTTACCTTTCATGGTAAACGTGTGTTTCATTCGCAACTGTTTTACAAAACCACAAAAAACCTAAAACACTTGACAGAAAACACGTCTCCTGAGGAACCGCGGAATCCCCTGGCCCACCTGTCTGAAGCATCTGGTCCCATATTCCTGGCTCCAAGCGACCGCGATCCCCACTACCGGTGCGACAATGACTGGTCTGGCCATGAAAGACGACGTCCGGAATTCTTCGTGAACTCGGAGTGCGGTGGGGGGTGACACCTCCTAAGCGCACCGTCAGGCCGCAGCGGATGAAATGTCCCGTCGGTCCTTTTTCTGGACTAGACAGTTTTTTCAGTCCGACCGGCCGGCCTCGACGGCCCACGGATAACGCACTCCAAATAATCAATAGCAAATAATAACGGAGCCGGGACCCAACCAACTCCACAAGCGCCCTCACTATCCGCGTGCGCCTACTACCTTACTTTCCCACTTTCACTTTGTTCTTCCATCTGACATCTCTGTCGAAGGCTTGCCTCATTCAGCCTTCTAGGAGGAGACCCATGTAGTGAACATGAAACATTTACGGTTTCAGTATTTTGTGACATTGGATTTTATTTTTGTTTTTATCTTTTGCTCATCCATTTGTTTTACTGTTTCACTTTCGAATTCTCTGGGATTCGCACGCTACCTTGTTCTGTGCTCTTTGCTAATTTGTTTCTAGTTCATGGCAGATCTTTAGAATACACGCGGGGCCCGGCTATGCACTCACTTCTGAGTAGTTGGTAACCGTATTGCTTCCTACTGATTCTCCTAGTAACCAGTATCTGAGTTCCGCTCTAGAATCTACAAAAGAAAAATACACCAGTAGTGTATCGAATGAGCCCATAAAACCGGTAGAAGATGATATTGATCAGACACCTTACACTGTATGTAGTAGATTAGACAGGAGACTAACTACGCAGACGATGAATAAGACGTTGAACATCGAAAAAATGACTAGTCGCTGGACACTCGCTGGTCGGCGATAGTTCACGTATGAGTTGTACAATCTCCGAAACATTGCTTAAATCGGAGAAACTTTCATATATGTACACTAACGCGCAAGGGCTCCTCAGCAAACGTACCGAACTTCGGCTACGTCAGGTTGCGAATGCCTGGGACCTAATTTCTTTTACCGAAACTTGGTTGCCCCAAAAGGTGAGGTGATGAGGTTGAGAGAGCAGGAATGTCGCTCATCCAGAACGACTGCCCCAGTAGAGGAGGTGGGGTCCGACTCTACTACTGCAGCAATCTGCAGTGTGCAATAGTTGATGATCTGGAAACACACACTACCAACGCACTCTGGTGCCGTCTCCGACTAAGACACAACGACGCATGCCTCGTAGCTGTCGTTTACCGCCCCCCAACGTCCACTCCAAAAATGGATTCCCACTTGATCCGTGGCCTGAACAGAGTAACACGCACTAGGTACAGCCACATTCGCATCTCCGGGGACTTCAATCTACACGATCTGGAGGTTTCAGCATCGCTCAGTGGGCAGTTCAGAGCAGACTTGCATGAACTGATCGTTAATATTCCCTTGTACAATCATGTCATCACGCCCACTAGATTCAGGACAGCAAATAAACTGTCCATATTGGACCTTGTGCTCACGAGTGTAAGGTTCATGGTAGAAAAGTTATTGATGGATAGTCCATTAGGTCTCAATAACCGCGTGTTAATAACGTTCAAATATGTGTGTTCTGCAGAGTATCCAACTGAACACTCGGAACTAACTCATACAATCACACGCTATCATGTCTTGAAAGAACTCGTCGACGCATCTGCTTGGGAGTTCTCAAATAACAGTCCCCTTGACAACGTTTGGACTGAGTTAGTTGAAAGACTTGGCGACATTGTCAACAGAGCATTGGAGGCTCAGCTCCTTCGTTCCGCAAAAATGCCTTCAATTCTAAGGAACAGAACTCTAAAATGCAAAGCAATAACGGATGCAGTATGACGTGCCTACAGGGT